GTCCCGCAGCACAGGGGAACCCCTCCCCCCCGCGCTGTCTCTCCCAGGACTTACACCTGGAATGCTCACAGCAGGCCTCTGCGCACGGCGCCCCAGCACCTGGATGGAGAAGCACGTGGCAGTGGCGGCAGCTCCGGGACCCAGGCATTAGGTTAGAGTGGGGGGGAGGGGCCTGGCTCTGGGGGAGAGAAGGGGGATTGGGTTAGAGCAGGGGGCTGGAAGTACCTGGCTTTGGGGGAGGAGGAGGGCATTGGGTTAGAGCAGGGAGGCTGGGAATGCCTGGCTCTGGGGGAGAGGATGGGGATTGGGTTAGAGCAAGAGACTGGGGATGCTTGAATCTGGGGGAGGAGGAGAGGAATTGGAGTAGAACGGGGGCTGGGGTGCTTGGCTCTGGGGGAGAGGAAGGGGATTGGGTTAGAATGGCGTGGAGGGAGGCTGAAGCACCTTAAACTCAGTCTTCGTGGATGCAGAATAAGGCAGCCAACACAGATGTCATATTTAAATTCCAGGGCAAAAAAAGAATCAGCATGTGCCTGGTTTACACTGTATTTCTTTAAAGAAAATTCAAAGGCTGTTGTTTTCCAGGCTGAAGCAATTATTCTGAGATATGAGTGTCTCCCTTATTGTTTTTGAACCTCTCATATTTGCAGTCTGGGATAGACCTGAATTTTTAGAACTATAAAAAAGCCATAATCTTCATAAGTAAAAAAATACGAGGAAACCATATCAGAAATCAACAAGCTAGAGTGAAACAGGCACATCAAATTCTGCTAATTTACTTCTCAGTTCAATTTAATTAAAAAAAAACCTCACAGGACATAATAGTGCAGTAGTGTTACATTTAAAATACATGGTGGGGATGCCTTTTTTTTTTAGTGTGAGACTATTACTGTATTTTTAAGGGGTTTTTTTTGTTTGTTTTTTTTATGTTTGTTCCTTGTCAAGTTCTCTGAAGATCTATGGACTGGCCGTGAATTTTTTAAGTGACTAGAGACTTTTTTATTATTTTTTGTCCGAAATGTCCTGTAATGTTATTTTTATCACTACATTTTGGTACTATATCTATCTATCTTTCTATATATAGATTTATAAAAATAAATATACAATACGTCGCTCTTCACACTATCCACCGCTATTTTGGCTGTTCGTCTGTAACTGATTGCCCCCCCCCCATGTAGAGCACACTAAGGGTGTGTCTAAACTACGTGGCTCCGTCGATGGAGCCATGTAGATTAGGCTGATCGGCAGAGGGAAATGAAGCCGCGATTTAAATAATCGCGGCTTCATTTAA